TGGGGAGGGCTAGCCTCCCACTAGTTCGAATTAAGTGGCTACACAGCCCTTAATTCAAACTACTTAATTCGAACTAGGCGTTAGTCCTCGTAGAATGAGGTTTACCTAGTTCGAATTAAGCTCTCCGCTAGTTCGAATTAAGTTCAAACTAGCGGTTTGCTAGTGTAGCGCCTATCAAAGTTAATTCAAACTAACATCTGTTAGTTCGATTTAACTTTGTAGTGTAGACATACCCGCAGGTACCACAGTCGGAGAGAGAGAGAGAGGTAGGAAGGAACCCAGGGCGGGCTCGTCCCACGGGGCTGGAGACTTGAGGAACGGAATCCCGCTCCAGCCTTAAAGGGGCGGTGTCCGCCAACCCCCTAGGGCCCTGGGCTGGGGCCCGGAGGTGAGGGCGGGGCTGGGCCCCCTTACCTTCTCCCCTTCCCCCACCTGAGCACCAAGGGACAAACAAAGGGGCGAAGTGACATTGTAGGGCCGAGGCGAGGGGGCGGCCCATCCAGGACACTGGTAGGGATCCTCAAACTAGAGGGGCGCACCCCCTAGAGGGCCCCGCGGACAGAGTCCTGCTAGGCAGGGAGCCCATCCAGGACACCGCGGACAGAGTCCTGCTAGGCAGGGGCAGCACAGTTGAAATGTGGGTGGAATAACCAGTACGCCCCAGGGACCGGGTGGCATTGGGTGGGAGGGGCGACTGGACCCTCCACCCCTGTGTCCCTTCCGCCCACCTGCCCGGGGGGCAAGAGGAAAAGGGAGGTGGGACCGGAAGGGGGGGTAAGTGGACCCCCCTCGGTGCGCCACCCGACAGCTTAATATTGGTCCGTCCAATACTAGGGACAAACACCTTATATAGGCTCCATAGCAAAAACATCAGGAGTAGTTTATACTTTTCAAGGCAGTTGGATTAGCATTATATTACTGTATGCTGCGGAAATCTCCTCAGACATAGCTAATAAAGCACATCTCTTGGACTACATACAAAATGAAATGTATTTGCCAACAAGTTTTGAAGATGAGATACATAAAGAGGCTGTCACTCTGAAGTGGACCCTTTGCTCTATCCGTCAGCTAATGTAAAGTTTCTATCTACAGCCCCCTTCCTTTTCTTCTTATGCCTAACTGAGAAGCAAATGCACCTGCCGAATTTATAGCAACACCTACTTTAGTCTGCAGACATTCACACCACTATACTCTCTTGCCCTGCTGGACAACTTTAAAAATCATAGCAGAGCTTTTTTAATGTTGTTCCCCTTTCCCAATACTCTCACTCAACACCTCACAGTATATTCTGTCAACTTAACACAGATACATTCTTGATAAAGGGCCCTTATTTCCTGGCGATGCTCCCCATGTTCCCATATCAGGTGAGCAATGGTTTCTTTACTCTTACATGTGTCACACAACTCATATTTGTGTGCATTATTCAAACGCCAGCAATTAGTTCATCTCAATACGATCACCTCTCTGAGCCTTTTATACCTCTGAAGTAGCTGACTATCGTCTATCTGGGGACATATTTCAAAGAATCATCTTCCTCTTTTTCTCTTTATTCTACAGTTTTTGCCATTCTATTGAACTCCTTTTCTGTCTTTTGCTGAATTGCCTCTGTTTATACCCCCACGCAGCCTTGCCCAGCTGCATTTCATCATAAATTAGACTTGACCCACTCTCCAGGTACAGCCAGGTGGGCTAATTGAATTCTCTCACTACTTTTAACTTTGTTTACCTAAGTGGGATAGACACCCCATCAACGATAGTTTTTGCCACTTATTATTTGTAATGCAGTACAACCGTAGTTATAGAGCAGGACCTCATTGTCCTAGGCACTGCACAAACAGAGGGTCCCTTAAATCCTCCTTAAAACTATCTTTTGTCTATGGTGTTTACACCATAACTTGAAAACAGTTGAAAGTTACAGAAAAGAACAGTTTTATGGAGGAGGCATTAATTTTATGGATGTTTTAGTTCCACTATCTTCTCCATTGCCTGTTTACTTATTGATACCGAAAACAGTTTATGGATATCTGCTCCATTGCCTGTTTACTTATTGATACCGAAAACTTTGAATGGGAGAGATTGAGGAACTCCCTATTCCAGAATATATCAAAGCACTTTAAGTTAGGACAGCCACATAAGAGGAGATTGGGATTGGTCCTGCCTAGAGCAGGGGGCTGGACTTGATGACCTTCTGAGGTCTCTTCCAGGTGTATGGTTCTATGATTCTATTACCTCTATGTAGATAAGTACTACCTTGCTCAAATTAAAGTTGTGTCTTCTACATTCCTGGTGAGTGCTCCAAGCAGTGGATTGAAAGTTCTATGATGCACACTAGCTCCGCCTACGCTTTCTCCTTCCTTCCATTCTCCCATTGTGACTGGGACACAGTCTGTTTGGTGGCTTCAGTACACCTAATGCACGGGGCTCCACAGGAGAGATAGGTGGAAGAGAATGCGTATCTTCCCCTAGTTCATGAATTGCACAGGGGTGTAGGCAGGACTGACCAGACTTGTCCAGAGTGAAGCACCCGTGTACATGCCCAAAGGTGGTCACTTAGGAGTGCTGGGATTTTCCCCCCGAAAAACTGAGGTGCCAACTGAGTTCAGGTGCCTACAAGGTTATGTGGTAGCTGAGTGGTCACTTAGGAGTGTTGGGATTTTCCCCCCAAAAAACTGAGGTGCCAAGTGAGTTCAGGTGCCTACAAGGTTATGTGGTAGCTGAATGGGGGCTTTGCGATTCATTGTTGAGGTTAAAACGGGGACTTAGGCATCTAAATATCTTTGTGAATTTTTAGTTCCAGGAACCTAGTCCATTTAACAAACAAAAGGTGAAGGGATGACTTGATCACAATATATAATTGCCTATTAGGGGAGCACACATTTGATAAAAAGTTCCTCATTGGAGCAAACAAAGGTAAAAGAAGATCCAATGGCTGGGGATGTTGAAGCTAGACAAACGAATTTGGAAATAATATGCAAATTTTAACAGTGAGAGTGATTAAATATTGGAACAGCTTACCAAGGGTTGTAGTGGATTCTCCATCACTGGCCATGTTTAAATCAAGAGTGGGTGTTTTCCCTTTGGTTTGCTCTAGTTCAAACAGGAATCAATTAAGGGAAGCTCTGTGGCCTGAATTGTATAGGAGCTGAGACTGGGTGTTCACAGTGGTTTCTTTGTCTTTATGAATATATAAAGAAAAGCAAAGTCAGCAGGGAGAGGTCCAGGAGGATGAGAATGGAAGACTGGTTCTGATGTTTGGCTAGGATAATGTTATTAAAGATGACAGCAAGAACTGTTTTGGACTACAAGGAGCACTAATGGGGTCGGCAAATACCAGCTCATGGGCAGGATCCGGTTCACTAGGGTTAGCCCCTGTTGGGCCACCACTGCTATATTTACATGCGCCTCTGCATGTACAGATTATTGCAGTTCCCATTGGCTGTGGGTCACCCTTCCTGGCCAGTGGGTACTGTGGAAAGTGGTAGTCTGGTCTGCGCCCCTTCCTGCAGCTCCCACTGGCTGGGAACAGTGATCCACAGCCAACAGGAGCTGTGATCGCCAGTACCCGTGGAGGCGCAAGTAAATATAGTGGTGGCAGCAAACTGCCACTATTTTATTGGCTGTCCTTGGTGTTGATGGGGGTCCCCCAGAAAGTGGGTCTTACATCCTATTGTGATTTGTGAGGTAGGTCATGGCTCTCAGAGCTATTGTGTCAGGCTGTCACAATAGTAAACATCTGCAGACTCTAGGAAACATCACTGCACCTGTTACATTCACATCATGTTTTCAACCATGTCTTCACAACTATGATGGCTAGAAATTCCTTTTAAAAAGTACAAAGTTCCTTCTAAATTGTACAAAGTAGTCTAGTCTTCTCCAACCCACCATTACATTCACATACTAGAAAAAAATATCAAACATACATTTTTAAAGGAAGTTAGAACAGTGGTGGGCAACCTGCTGCCTGCCAGTTCCTTGCGGCTCATCAGGGCAAACCACTAGCGGGCGACCAGACAGGTTGTTTACCTAGGGTCCGCAGAAACAACTGCCTGTAGCTCTCATTGGCTGTTGCTTGCTGTTCCCGGCCAATGAGAGCTGGGGGATGCAGCAGCCAGAACATTCCTGTGGTTCACATTGGACGGAAATGGTGAAGCGTGTCTAATGGAAGCTTCAGTTAGTTTGGAAAAAAGAAGATTAAGGGGGGACATGATAGCGGTTTTCAAATATCTAAAAGGGTGTCACAAGGAGGAAGGCGAAAATTTGTTCCTCTTGGTTTCTGAGGACAGGACAAGGAGTAATGGGCTTAAAGTGCAGCAGGGGAGGTTTAGATTGGACATTAGGAAAAAATTCCTAACTGTCAGGGTGGTCAAATATTGGAATAAATTGCCAAGGGAGGTGGTGGAGTCTCCCTCTCTGGAGATATTTAAGAACAGGTTAGATAGACATCTGTCAGGGATGGTGTAGACGGAGCTTGGTCCTGCCTTGAGGGCGGGGGGCTGGACTCGATGACCTCTCGAGGTCCCTTCCAGTCCTATGATTCTATGATTCTATGATTCAGGTGGGCGTACGAATAGGTGCAAAGTAAACACCCTGTCTGGCAACCCACAGGTGAGATAGAACTTACTTGGGCTTCTCTTGAAAAAAATGGCCTCTGGTACAATAGATTTCCAATACATATTAATCCCAGGTTATATTTGATCTTAGTAAGCAAGATGTTAGATTATATAATTTTTATATAGTGATTATTTAAGTACTAGCCAATAGCCCATCATAAGATGGGATTTTTGGGTCTCTGCTCCACGTCTCTCTCTCTCTCCTCCTCCTACTGCCTCCCCCTCTCTCTCTCTCAGCTCTCCTCACTTCCTGCCTCTCTCTCCGTCTCTCTCTTTCTCTTCCCCTCCCCTTCCTGCCTCTCACTCGGGGGACCGCGGAGTCCAAATGGTCACTTGCACCACCTGCTCCCATGCAGCGGCCTGGCTGAGCGGTGCAGAAGTCAGCTGAGCGCCACGGCGGGAGGTGAAGGAGGGCAGTGACGTTCACAGCCAGGGGGCGGGGCCTAG